GATGGGATTAAATTGATCTCAGATAATAAAGTGAAACTTATTTTTGATCAGGGCCTGTCATTTAAATCAAACTGCAGTGAAAAGCCTTCAGCTGATCCAAAATGATGCAGCCAGAGTTCAGAGAGATCATACCTCTCCTAGCTTCTTCATTGGCTTCCTGTTAAATGCAGGATAGAATTTAAAAAACACTTTCTCACATATATGCCTTAAATAGCCAAGCTCCGTCTTATATCTTATACATGATTGTTATGTTCTTAACAGAGCACTTCGCTTTCAATCTGCAGGTTTACTAGTTGTCCCTAGAATTTCTAAAAGTAAAGGGAGATCTTTTAGTTATCGGGCTCCTCTCCTGTGGAACCAACTACCAGTTTGTCTGTGAGGCAAACCCTGTCTACTTTTAAGGCAAAACTTTATGGCTAAAACTTTCCTTTTTGATAAAGCTTATTGTTAAAATGGCTCAGGTTATCCAGAGGTATCTCTTTAGTTTTGCTGCTATAGGCTTAGATTGCTGGAAGACATAGGGGCCCCTTTTCATCATTCTGCTTCATTCTACAGTATCTATTTGCCCGTTCTGCAGTATTTGTTGGTTCAATCTCTAACTTCAAGCGCTCTGTTTTTTTCTCATCTTTGTAGCTTGAACTGGTCTTTTACTGTGTGGCTATGACACCATCCCAGAGAGAAATATTAGCTGGACTGCTGCCATCAATACCTTTGTTTAAAGATGTTGGAGCTTAGACTGTTTTTTTTTAGTGTAGTTTCTCTGACTGACTAACTGTATGTGCTCTCTTTGATCTACATGGGAACTGGCTTGGAGCTCGTCTTCCTGGCTGTGTTTTTTTCTGGACGGGGCCGCCTGTGGAGCTTGTTGACAGTTACCTTTTTAGATAGATCTTTGTTTCTTTTTCTATGTCTACTTCTGTTTCCTTTAACCCCAGTCAGCCTCACACTGAGCCTTGTTCTGCTGGAGGTTTACTCTCCACTGTCACTACCAGCATGCTTGGTGTGATGGGTTGCTTTCGAGTAAATGAGTTGATGTAGTCAGCTGGTTTTCTTTAAAAATAAAAAAAACTTTGAACCAAACTTCATTGAATTGAATGTTTAGAAAAACACAAATGATTGCATAACCCTAAGTTATAGTTTTGTGCATTCAGAGACTTAAAATGTTTTATATTCAAAATAATTCTCAATAAAAAAATTTGGCTGGACTTTGAATAGGCCTTTGTACCATATGGCTAATGCATCGCCTTATACTGTACAACTCAACAGCAGGCCTGGTTGTATAGGAAAATGGTGTCCAATTTTTTTTTTGCAGCTGCCTGGAGGTTTTTCTCCATAATAATCAATTATTCATCTTCTTACATCTGATCATCTACCCCGTCTTTAAAAACAAAAATCAGCAGATGCAGTAAAATCAAAATATTTCAAAAAAATGCTGAAAATAACAACTTAAACAGCAAGAATATTAAAGATTTAGGTAAATGGTAAGATTTTATGTATCTAAATTTACATTTGTTCCTTTAAAAAGCATATTACTTTACTGTGATTTTACAACAAAAAGAAGCTGATTGTCCTTCTTTACTTTGAGTATATCTTAAGATTAACTTTTATCAGGCGACCATCAATGTTTCAATCTCTACTGAATAATTGTGTTATGATTTAAATGATTTAAATTTGGCCATTATTTCCGCTTTCCCCAGGGTCTGATCCACAATTATTAAAACCGAACGGGAGAAGGCTTTTTTTTTTTTTTTCTTCACCATAAAACTCACAAAAAAACCAATATGGCTGAACTGCAGATTTAGTTTCAGGACTGCTTCCTGTACTGTAAAATCAACCATGGTCAAGAACTATTGAAAACAGAATAATTAAGACATGTTTCTCTGCTTATGTAGAAGAAGGACAAACAAAAATTTTCTAAGCTTAGCTTTAATATGTATTGTCTAAAAATAGCTAAAAAAAATAAAATTCAACTATTTTCTTATTTATGTCAAGATGTATTAATGACTCAGACCCCAAAATGAGTAAAATGATTGTGCTTTATTTTTTTTTCCTTAATCAAAATGCCCACAAGTCAATTTATTTAATGAAAGTGGAAGGAAAAAACAACCAAAGAAAAAAAAACTAAACCTAAACCATACTGTAAACATTCACATTATTTGTTTTTTATTTCGAAAAATGTCTTCATAAGTAAACTCAGAGCAAAATAACACATTTTATATAGTAAACAAAAGTAACATTTATAGGCATCAGTCCAAGCCATTGGGTTAGATTGTGTTTTGAGGTTGATCCACACCGTGTAACCCATCAGCTCAAATTGCACATCGTATATAGTGATTTTGGGTGAACTCTAAGACAAGTGCCACCGTGAAGCACCCTCAGCCCCGGTCACAGCCGTCTCTATTTCCAGCCGACAAAGAGGTGCTGCTTTCTGTCACAATAAAGAGATTTACTCACGATAGAGGAACAGAGACCAAACACAAGATGTTTTAGCCGGTGAGAGAGACTAATTCCAGTAAAACTGTAGTCATGCTCCAGGGGAACAATGTTACAGCGCAAGACAGTGAAACAACTGTTGCCCATGAGAAAGATGTCAGAAAACTGCATGCCAAGGCACTTCCTCAAGTGAGGATCTTGTCTTCGAGTGACAGGATGTGAGGCAACAAAGTAATTCAAATAAAACTAGATACTATATGTATTAAATACTTGGCAACTCCAATTTTAGTCAGCACTCTCTTAAAACATATGAACACAGTTTACAAGATAGCTTTGGTGTTGATGCTAACCTGGCTAGACCCCCAACCATCAATTCTGCTAATAACACTTTGTATACTTTTCAAACATGTATAACTGGTTTATATCATTCTCATAAGTGATGCTTGATTAACAGGTCTGTAATTTCTCACCACTTTCCTGAGTGTTTTTTTTTTTTTTTTGATAAATATTCTAACTTTTTTTTTTCATTATAAATTTATTGCTAAAAATGTTTCAACTGCTCTTTTTTTTATTTAGTTAAAACATATCCTAAGCCAGAACTTTTTTTATCAGGTCAAATAAATGCAGTCATAAAACATTTCAGTGCATGTAGAGAAGAGCCAGAAAAAAACCCCAACATCTTTTAAATATAAAATAAATAAATCCCAGTCAGCCTTTCCATTGCTTTCTAAGCAGATACATCAAAACAAAAACAGGAAAGTCAATGCTATGATTCACCTGTTTTCATATTTTTTGTTTAAATATTATACCAGCAGTGCTGCATTTGGCAGAAACCAAGAGTGAATAGTAATACTGGTGCAAAAAGCACCTAAAATAAATATAGATAGCATTGCTTTACACAAATATGGCAAGATATTAAGAATTTTATGTAGCCAAATACATTTTTAAATTACCAGTAAGTACTTTACATGTGGTCACTAAGTGGACAAAAGTTTGGCAGAGACTTAAGATGGAAAAGCAATCAAATATAATTTTTCCTCGCTCAGATCATGTTAAATTAGTGATATATCAAGTGCTGTCAGAGGGAGGAATCCCCTCTGAGAAAATGTTCACTGTAGTAATCAGACAAACTTCATGAGCCATGGATCTACTTTGTCTGCATGACTCAAGAACAGCATGCATCAAGAGTGGCGGAGTGTTGCTCATCAGTCAGCACCCCTAATAAAATCTTACATGCTTAATTTCTTGATAAATCAAAATGTTTGTGTGCATAACCAATCCTTTAAATTTCGATGCTCTGCGTTCTGTTGTATGTTACTGATTTGAAGCAGAGATTCATGCTATTGTTTTAAATGGTGGTTTGTTGAATCTCAAAGCTCCAGCTTCGGTCCTAGGTGGACACCTAGGTACTTGACACCAACAAATATGACATCACTTTTTTCCTGGTTTGTTTTCATGGACTTTGTGGTTTAAAACATATAACTGTAATAAGTTACAAGCCTAAAAAACAGGTAAGAGATGTGAAAATATTGATTTATATCTTTAAAATAAAAGCAAAATAGATTAAAAATTTTGATCAGAAACTGCTTTTTTTATACAACAACGTAGTGATTATCAGGAAAATGTTTGAAAGTTTTTGGAAAATTTAGACCCATAAAATAAATATTATCTTAATTTAAATGTCAAAACTTTCTGTTATTTACTTTAATTTAAAACTTCTCATATAACTTAAATTTTTTTTTTCTTATGGAACAATATTAGATAAAATACTTTCTCTGGTAAACTCTACTTAAGCTTCAAACATGACACCAATAAATCTTTAATACACCTGTGAGGTGTTCAATATGTAACACTAGGATTAAAAAAACAACAATATCTTATATAGGCAATGGATAAAATCTAAAACACTCTTCATCATTATTGATTTTTGTTTCTTGCATCCCATCTCTCCTTTCTAAAGCACACACTGGTTGTGCACAACTGGAGTTGCCAAGTCGCTGCCACAGGTACTGATATTCGAGGTTTGGTGACAAACCAAAGTGAAAACAAATTAGAATAAATAATACAACAGTACCTCACAAAGCTGCCTGCAAGTCAAGCTAATGTGTAGCTTTGATTTGAGCTTTGATTTTCATACGCAGTAAATAGAACCAGGCGTTTCCACATAAAATACTCACATTTCCATTTGAACTATTTACAAACTCATAAATATATATATATGTATGTATATAATCTACATTAGGAATTATTTTCCCCCAAAACAATCATACAAAAAACAACAGACCATAAAAAATTCTGAACACAAATAAAATAGAATATTTCTATCAAAAAAAGAAGAAAATGAACAAAAAGAATTAAAGTTATTCATCTTCCTTTGGAGTGTTTTGCTATGTTGATCTGTAGCAGTACATGTGATGTTGAGCCCTCGGGAGGTTTTTAAGACCTGAGTGTCTTCGGTCAGGTGCAGATCACAATAGCACTAGGATCCCTGGGAAGGGGGCCGGGGCCCGAGGCCTGGCTCATGTAATCCTACACTGAACATACAAAGATATATATAGATTTTTTTCTTTTCAAAAACTTGGTGTAGGGATCGATTGGGTAGGTGGGGATTCAAGGACTGAGAAAGGACAAAGAGAGTTAAAAGATCACAGGTTGTCGTCGCCACCCTAAGATTCGGGGGACTGCTCTGACAGAGTGTTGAGCAGATTTTTGTATGCTGGGGAGTTCAAGTAGCGGGGATACGAGTCTCTTTGCATTAGCGTGTAGATCTGCAACTGAGCGTCATCAAACGTGTGCAAGTTGGGTTCCGGCATGTTCCTGTTTATCGCCTCTCGCACTCTGGAGTCAAGACTCACCTGGAAGTTGAGAAAATACAACATCAGGAAGAATAGAATGTTCTGTTTTTGTGTGGTGAGGAGGTAAGAAATGGAATTTTTCATTATTTCAAGAGTTTAAACAAAAAGTATTTACAACCTCCCTGATTAGCTTAACTTTGCACAAAGTCAGCATTAAACTACAACAGCAGCTTTACTAATGCTTATGCACTTCTGTCTAGTGTTGTAGATTACATGTAATCGGGAAATAAAAAGATCTGTTGCTGTTTCTCACTATATAGACTAGGGCTGCAAACTAACGATTATTTAGCAAATTGAATAATCTGTTGATTACTTTTTAGATTAATCAATTAATAATCGGATAACCAAAGGTTCCTTAAAGCAGATCTTTTGCAAAATTAAACCAGGAGAACTTAAAACGCTTTCAATTAGAGTTCTGGATAGAGAATATTGAATGCAAAATGTTTATATATATATATATATATATATATATATATATATATATATATATATATATATATATATATATATATATATATATTTTTTTTTTTTTTTTTTTTTTTTTTTTTTTTTTTTTACAATTTTACTGTGGGTTGCTCTGTCAGCTAAAGGCATGTTTTAAAGTCTCTACACTCCAGTTAGCGATTAATCAATTACTAAATTAGTTTTTGATTATTCCAATAATCAACAACCTCAATAAATTGTTACATTCATGCTGATTTTGCACAGTTTCTATCTTAGTCAGTTAAATAACACGCAGCTGTCATTTTGCACATCTCTAATGTTGCTGCTATTTTCAAATATCCATAACTGTAAAAATGTCCATAGCTGTATATTGGTGAATTATTCTCCAGGTGCACAGTTTTTATATTGTTAAAACACTTTATTTTATTGTTTATCTTTTAACTCTTCACTATTATATTATTCTTAGACATTTTTCTAAGGTTCATATTTGTGTGACCATTTTAACCACCGGAATTTTCTCACTGTGGGATGATAAAGGTATTTGCTATTCTATTCTATTCTAATGCATTAATGGCATTAATTGTTTAAGCCCTAACTAAGACAAATTTGTCTTCTCATCGTCCTCTTTTGTGATAGAGTCAGTTTTTATTTTATTTTTTACATTTAAGCAAGTATTGTGTTTAAGTTTTATTAGCCTTCTTCATTTTGTCAAACAAGGTCTGCTCCAGAAATGTCTTAAGTCTACAGCTCTAGTTGTGGACTGCGATTTTAAAACCAGCTATCCTTAAATCAAGTTAATCACAGCCAATTCGTGAATTAACACAAAGAGGATAATTTGTTTTCCATATATTAAATTGTGTTTAATGAAAATTGTAAAAATTTAGTGACATACTGAACCAATCTGTAGGTGGGTCCAATAATTTCTCACAGGACTGGACATTTGTCTGTTCAACATGTCTAAACTCACAATGCTGTGACTTTTAATATATAAAGTAGCATGTGTATGTGATTTTTCTGTCCCAAACTTGCTACATGCTTTGGATCAGGGAATGAAAAAAATTTTTTTTAGAGTCAATTGGAGAGAAATTATTTAATATTATAAAAAAGCATTTATATTCATTACTGTAGATTATCTGTAAAGTGATCGGTTGGCTCACTTCGACTAATTGATCATTCCAGCAGCATTTAATCACAGCTTGCAATGGGAATGAGAGGAGATCCAAATGAAGGACACATAAGCCTTGTTAGGTGAGACTTAAACTGCATAGATAACCAAACAAGACACCCAAGCTAAACCCTAAAACTATCGTATAGTCACATGAATTTTTATTAGATTACATCTTCTAATAAAGTGTCTTGTATCTGCTAAATTACATCTATTTTCATAAAAATGCTCACCTTATGTGTCTCTTGTTTCAATTTCCAGGAGTCTGTAAACTTATTATTGCATGTTGAGTATGGACTGACTAAAACTTTAGTTCATTTATTTAGTAGGAGTTTCAGAAAAAAAAAAAACTGAGTTTAAGAAAACACACATTAGTGTATAGATATGATGGAATTTATTAGCTGGACCTAACATCTTTCTGTAGAGGTAAACGTTGTGCAAAGCTAAGCTAATTGAAAGAGGCTTCACCAAAGAAGAATGAAAGTGGCATTGATATTCTCCTTCAAGCAGGACATCATAAGGCCCTTAAAGCAAACCTTATCTAGACCAAATGAAATCAATAATGGTCCCACACCTCTTTTGGCGACAGAATGGAGATGTAGTCCTCGTAGATGAGCCGGGCCTTCTCCTCAATCACACTTTTATTGGTCTCCTTGCTGAACTCCTCGCATGCGAGCCAGAACAGCATGTTTTCTTCGCTGAACTCGGTGCGAAGAAATTGCCGGAAAGAGTTCCTCCCCGCTGGACAGCACATCAGCTTGTCAAACGACTGCCCCCACATACGTACCTCCTCCAGCGTGGGCTTTGGGCTGCATGTAAAATAAAAAACAGGGGAGTAAATCACTTATCTGATTGACTGATCAATCTGATGGAGTAGAACTCTGTTTTATTTGTCAGGCATTGTTTAGTAGGGATTTAGCCTTACCAGTCTTCACAGTCTGAGTTCCCTTCCTTGACATCATATGATGCCTTTCGATTCCTTTCATCCCTGTCTTCATTCCTGTTCAAAACAGAGAAAGAACTTGGTGAAAAATATTGATTTTACATTTTTGGTCATGGAAATGATTTAGTAATTAAGTGGTACAAAAATACAAAACACTATAAAAGAGATTTCTTTATCGATATTTGATATATATGTGGCACTACAGTATAAATCTACAGTACAACCCACAGTGCATATTTGAGGTATATAAACATCTTTGGCATGGATGTCGTATCGATCTGGAGTTTTTAATGGTGCATTCCTTATTTTTCCAGGTGCTAGGATATCGACTATTTGCATACGATTATGTTTGGCTGAATATCCCTCAGGGATGATGGACTGTACTACCTGCACTCTAGAATAAAAGTAAAAAAAAATCAATATGACATTAATACCAATGATGAATGTATGTAAACTTTAAACAGGCACAGTTATGCTAGTGTAAATTAAAATAGTTAATGAATTTGCCAAAAGTCATCCATTGTTCCATTTTTTGTTATTTTGTTTAGATTTGAATGCCTCCCCTTGGCTCCGAACATTGAAGTCAGTCTTCATCTGACTATAAAACCTCTCACTAGAACACATGACTTCTGTTGGCTTGCAGTAGGAAGATTCTGGCTATAGATCTCAATCTGCATTAGAGTTTGCAAGTCCTGCAAGGGATAACTTTCAATAAAAATGTACACACAGATGTCTGAAACCATAATTGGAAGTCAGTGATGTGAATAAATTCAAGATTTGTATTCATTCATTGTTTTTAACTCATACATACTGATATCAGATGCTTCATCTGGGAGAAGACAAGTTTAAAAGTTACAAATATAAGTTAGAAAGTAAAAAATTTGTAAAATTGAAAGTACAAATAAAACATTTACAAGTATCTAAATGCGCTGATGAAGATGTTACTCTCCCTACCACTTGATGGCAGTAATGCACCTAAAGGTTGCTGGCGTACCACTAATAGAACCACTGATTGGACGTATTTCCTCTCCTTCACATAAAAAAAAAAAAAAAAAAAAAAAAAAAAAAAAAAAAAAAAAAAAAAAACACAGCAAACATTTTCCAGGTGCACTGTCAACCACCAACTGGTAAGGAGTAGCACAGGTTTGTATGCTGTTTCCTTTTTCCACTTTTTTTTTTTTTATTATCATCACACTGTCACAAGTACAGAGCAATGAAAAGAGCCATCTGCATTTAACCCATCCCCTCGGGGAGCAGTGGGCTGCCTTTGTGCGGCGCCCGGGGAGCGGTGTGGGGTTATGGGTCTTTGCTCAGGGATCCATAGTGGCAGTCTGTGGGAGTGGGGCTCGAACTCCAACCCTAATCCTAACCTCAGGATTCCAAGCTCTATGCCCCAATCACTAGGTTCCTCTCCCTTAATATGCTATTGTAGATTGGTATTTGTGACCTTTTGATTTGTATTTGTATTGTTGCAAAGCAATATGTATTTGTAGCTTTTAAACTTGTATTTTACAAGTGAAACATCTCATTACATGTACGCATGTATGAGATGATCAAGATCAAATATAGAAACTTAGATCAATATAGGCTTACTGACCTACATTTACAACATCAGACACTCATGCATAATATTTATTGACAATTATCTTACCCCTTAGTTTTCTGTTGTATGAGTGGGTTCTCTCGTGGTGCTCGTTTCCCCACAAATAAAACAAAAATGCCTGTTAAGTGGCTACACTAAATTGCAAACTATCCAGAGTATACCCTCCTTCCAACCAATTAAGAGCCAGGGATGGGCACTTGCATCATAGCATTTAGGTTGTGCATACGGGAAGCTGAAGACTGGTTCATCTCAGTGGCTTTGATTTGGGAGCTGATGCTTGTTTCCAGTCAGCATCCAGTCATTCCACGGTGATGTGGAACCCTCCTTATAATAGGAAGTGGAGCTGCTCAATATAAGGACTCCATGTAACAGCAATAATAATACATAAAATTGAGAGGACAGTATTAATTATGATATTCCTAAAACCTTCATTTATTGCCCATCCTTACAAGTTTCCAATTATGATCAATTAGGTTTTGCATTTCTCATTAAAGTCCTCATGTTACCAGACAGAGTTAACTGCTCCCACTGTGAAAGCAGCTTGAGTGGTCAAAATATTCAGACTCAACATCAAAATCTTCAGTATTTTGTCTCAGTCTTTTTTTTTCTATTTATGGGCCTTTAGTAGTAATGATATGAGATTTTTGAAATTAGTTGTTTTAATCTTGAATTAACTTCTAGAAACTCATTATTTTTGTGCTCAATTTATTCTAGCATCTTAACAAAATCTGCCAGCAGCATGTGAATGGGTGAATGGCTGCATGTACTGTAAAACACTTTGGAGTTTCCCTGTCTTGGAAAAGCATTCTATAAATGCAGGCCATTGTTCTTGTATTTGAAAGCTTCACATTGACTTAGACAACATTTACTGTCATTTTCTATACACAGACTCCTTCAACTTTCAATGTGTCTTTAGAATCAAATAGCCCTACCATTTTTTTTGTTTAATAAACCTTTTCTGCTATTTTTTTTTCCAAACTTGAATGAATCCATTTTTGAAGCTTATGTTTCTTTGTTGGTCAATATCCTCTCAGTCCAAAAAAACTCTTTTCTGTGTACAATAAAACATTGTTCTAGCAGCTTTCAGTTACGATGGACATAAGGCTTTTTGGCTTTTGGATTGTTTCTGATAATGCTCACCAATTTGTTCACATTTGAGGAGGAACACATTCAGTCAGGCAGTTGAAAGATGAGACGACTGGATAATTGATTTGTTTGCAATGGTGGTAGAAAACCTTTAACAACTGAAATGGATAAAACAAGCTCACATCAGGCTTGTGGAAAGGCACTGACCTCAGGCATATTAAAAATGTATGGACGCTTCTTAAAAGCTTAGTTTGTGTCCAGAAACTAACTAATAAAATGAGCTGTATCATTTCTTATAAGATGAATGCTCTTTTACATCCAGTCAGAATTAAGTTAGACTCTGATTTTGTTAAAAAAAATCTCATACCACATTTGGGCATATTGCTACTTTTGATAGAAACTGAGTAGTTAAGTGTTGTGTTTCAGTTTCCGGTTTGTGAATGCTCATATTCTTCATCATTTGTTTCTGGCCATGATAACCACTTTAAAAACTTAAGGAAATCACTATTTTAGATGGTATTCTGATTTAACATAAAAAGGAAAAGCACCATAAAACAATCTCACTTAGACATCCACCAGCAAGCTGAGTCAAGAGTTGTGAGAACTGATCCATAGGGTTTTTTTATGTAAGCATTTTATTGCCAATTAGTCCACAGAGCATTTTATTTTAGATACTTAGATTGTTTAGCCATATTATATTCACTATTACTTTCCCTCGCCCTAACCGCTCACCGTCACGCTTGGCCATGTCTAGACCCTTCCCACTTTGTTAGATTTTGTTTTGGTTTTTTATGTATCCGGTGGTGAAGTTATGATTTTACGTTAGATTCAAATGCATCAGTTTCTTAATAATTCATATGCATTCTGATTGTGTCAGCCAGAATGCAAAGCTGCAGACAAGCAACGCTTTTATCCAGACATTAGTCTGAATCCGATGTTTATTCTCTCCTAAATGTGATGAGGCTGTTGCTGCTTAACTGAAATCCATGGATCAGATCTACATCTATCAAGAGTGTGAAACAGAAACTAAGACCTGCTGTTGAGACACACCAGCTTGCCGTTGGATCTCGCATGCAGTAATATTGGCCACGCTGCGCCTGAGTGAGTGAAGTCTCAGACCTACCAGGAGCAGCTACAGCAGCAGCACCAGCAGAAGCAACACGCGTTGGAGCCCCGCGGGTTGGCTTCGCCCGGCTGGTCCTGCTGGGCCGGTGCAGTTCCCCCCGCTGCCGACTCCTGCTGCACCGACATCTGCCTCTTTCGCATCTCCATCCGCTCTGATCCCATGGGCTATAGACAGTGGAGAGGGAGGGTTGAAGGGCTTGGAGTGTTGATGTCAGGAATAGAATGTAACTGAGATCTTATCTTGCAAGAAAAGCTCTTGGCCTGACATGTATTAGTGTGATGGAAATCAGTTCCAGTGTAACAAGTGTAGCAAGGGCAGCACTGAGTGTAATACTGTAATGTCACAGCAGAGGAGATGGCAGTGTGCAATTATGGCATCCAATACATTTAGTCACTGATTCTTTTAAAAGGAAAACAAGCTAGATAGAGTTCTTATGAACAGGGGAAATATTAAGTTTTATTAGTTAAATTTGAACCATATGTTTGGAGATAACATCACCTAAGTTTAAGAATGACTGAAAATTATGCATTTTGGAGAAGTTAGTCAAATGTTTTAGGATACTTAAAAGCTTAAAGATATGAAAAAAAAAATCTAAAGCTGGGAAAAACATAATTTCTAGGGGTCTGTTTGAACTTAGGTTTGGAGGTAGGTATTTTGCTAATAAAGTATAAAGTAAAATTACATATAGCAATAAGATTTTTGCTGTTGATGATGATGAATGCACAACAATAGCACAACAATTCTGGCATAAAGGCCACAAGAGGTCAGGACGCACCTAAAATATAAAAAATAAGGGAAAACAGAATAAAATGCCATTTGAAATAATGACTAATTATTTAAATTTGGAGATTATATCAATATATATTTAATCTCCAAACTTTTAAACTTACCAGCTATTTATACATTACATGTGAGGTAATGTGACTCAACCATGTACTGGCATCCACTGCTAGACACTCTAGGAATGCCCTACTGAAGACATTCAGTTATATTCATTTAACCCTTGCATATATATATATATATATATATATATATATATATATATATATATATATATATGCAATTAATGCTGTAATAGCTCTAGGGAATAAAATGTCAATGGGAATACAAAGGTAAATAAAAAAAGGTCAGTTTGTTGTATCTATGATCCAGCAATGGTTTTGATGATAAAAGAAACAAGAAAATGGGCTAATCTGAGTCAAGACTGTGATTTTTGTTTTTTAGACAGAAATTATGATTGCTTAATGGTTACATCTAATAAAAATAAGACTATTTTGGAAGCTGCAGTTAACTCATTTAACAACATTTACATTTTGGTGGGAAAGACTGTCCAGAACCCATAGAAAATGCCATGTGTGTAATGTTACCAATGGCAACCAATAATTAGCATACATACAGTAATTCAGAGGGGACAACATCAATCATTTACTAAAATCATCCTCTTTTACTGTCTTACGGTCACCTATAATGAGCTGAGATACAGACTGTCTATGAGAATCTATCTCCAAATCTCGACTATAAGGCTCATAAAGACTCTTTAGAGGGTAGCCCCATTCAGCTCCTTCTTTCAATTCGTGGTCTTTACATTTCTACATGCCCACTGAGCAGCTATTAGCTTCCAACACTGAAAAGAGGGTTAAAGTTGACCCATCAAGATGATGCTTCTGTCATAGTTAAGCAGTAGTCTAAAGCTGTAACTATTATAGGGTGAGGGGGGAAAAAGAGAATATGACATACCATGATAAGCTGATAAAACACAATTTATGCAATATTTAAACAATGTCTACAAGGTTCTTTTGCTGCCACCTGCATGGTTTTAAAGGTCTGCATCACTTATGAGCTTCACAATGGACATTTATGCTTGTGTTTTGTAATGCAGATACATTATCTATGTCTCAAATCTCTTCCCTTTGCAGCACCCTGCTGGCAGTGGGACCCTAAGCTGACCCTTACTTTGCAATGACTTGGGCCAGCTCTGACCATAGGTTTCACTCATAGTGGTACCTACATGCAGAATCCTGTTCTAATTTGGAGTATGGATATCTGGCCTTTGCACAACAATCCCATCGGTTGGCAGGCCTATAGGCATACGGGCTTATGTTCACAGAACGTGAGCTAATTTTAACAAATGTGTCATCACCGGGTCAGACTCTGCCAAATCCTGTCAGATCAATTATGTAACAAAGCGGTCTATTCCGACACATCAACCGGACGCTACCTGACACGAAGCCTCAAACATGTCCAAATATTTTTGTTATATCTAATCGAGTTTTGGGGCGCTGAAAGGCGCAGCTTAAAAAAATGTAGAACGAATACACCCTTTTCAATAAATACAATAGCCATTTCTAAAATGGATCCGCGTTTTTTTTTTCTCTCTCTCTCTCTCTCTCATACACTCGAGGTGGCATCAGCCCCTCACGTCGTGCGTCTTGCCAAATGGTACATTTTTACGCAAAGGTATTGGGTGTACTTCAAAGCTGGCACAATACCAGCAGGGTAGGGTTTGATTCAACAGCTATGTAGAGGATGGAAAGGAAAGGAGGGGGGTAGGGGGGTCGTATCCATTGAACGCATAAATCATGATAACTCTAACTAAACCACCGCGTTGAAAGGACGCTGAGAATTATAGGTCCCCTTTTTTCATTTAAGACGTATACAAATGAGAATCCCTATTTTTATATATATATATATATATATATATATATATATATATATATATATATATATATATATATATATATATATATATATATATATATATATATATATATATATATATATATATATATATATATATATATATATTGGTGAATCGTAGCCTACATCATATCAGCTGAAACTGCCACCATGAAGAACCGTAGAGCTTCATCGCCCTGGACAACCACCGAAAAGACACTGCCTAGATCTATTAATGACATGCCTTTAAAAAAAAAAGAACGACTACAGACGCTCCAACCACAAAATGCCGCCTGCAAATATGCGGCGTTTTAATCTCAATACTTACAATTTCACCATGTATGCACCACGAGAAGAGGGAATTCTTTGCTTTGATTACATCCGATGGAACATAAGGCTTTTTTTCCCCCCTCTCACCGACCGGATGCTTCAACTCAGTACGCATGCGTCTCCTTTCCGAGCCGTAGTATCCCAGTGAGGAGAGTAAACCCTGACAGTGTGGCACAATGTACCTATAACCCTGTATGGTAGTGACACATCATAGTATGATATTTAGGTGCCTCACAAAAAATAAGAATGGAATAGAAAAGGCAGTTTGTTTTATTTAATCCAATTTAAATGGTGAGACTAATATACGCCTATAATTATTTACAGCTCCTATTACTGATCATTTGAAAGAAATGTGACTGAAAGTTCATGAAAAATCATTAACTTATCCCCTTCCCCTGCAACAAGACTGAAAGAATGTAATAAGCTTTTATTTCTGTCAAAATTGAAGGTGTACCACCTAAATGAAAAAACAGAGCTGAATTCTTCTTTATTAAAATGATACATAAGACATATACAAATAATTTTTAAATGATTTAGTATAAATATAGAGTAATAACACTGTAATGAATTAGACTATTTATCTATTTAACATACCAGAAATTGCACTACCACTTTACTGTACATTATATACTGTATATATAAGTCACCTTAAATCTCTTCTTTATTTTTTACCATCCACTGTATATATCTGGATACACTGTATATACTTCATGCACCTTTTCCTCCTTTGTGCATCTTCTGTTTGTTTATAAGAGCCAATGTCAAAAGTGAATTTCTCCATTGTGATATCAATAATGTTATATTCTATTATATATGTTTCTGAAAGGTTATAGCCAGCATAATAACATGGAGGACAGCTGATCTGGCAGTTGTCCTGCAAACAATCCTTAATAGCCATTAGAAAGAAAAAAAAAGTAGCAATTATAAAAGTTGGCTGATCATAGCATAATGTGTCCAAAACATCATAAATATCAGCTGAGTGGAATAAAATACTTCATACTTTTTTTTACTCACTTGCAAGATCTGGCAAAAATGGTCATAGCTGGTATAAAAAAAAAAAAAAAAAGTTAAAAATAATCCACTGGACTTTGTTTCCAGGTTAAAACTTGGAAACAAAGTCCAGTGGATTGTTTTTAGCTTTCTTTTTTAGAATGACTATGACCTGGATGACTGAGAATCTTTATCAGCACGTTACAACTGATAACCGATACAAAGAACACCTTCAATAATTGCAAAACAGAGCTCAAAGCTGTCATAGACAAGTTAAACTAAGCTATTGATTAGATTTTTCTGCATGACTTAGTACTTTCCCCAACTAACTATATTACTAATACCTTGTTTAATCATCATAGGCACCTGTGCTTAATTGGCCAACAAACTCCACTATATGAGATGACAGCCCATAGATATTAAACTGAAAGTTGTTATTTAAGCCTTATGGGAAAGCATTATGGAATATCTTTACACTTCATCAGAGTGACACAAATATATGAGATTTAGCTCTCAGGGTAATGAATCTGAACAATATTCACACTAAACTTTCTGAATTAAATACATTTTTGCTGCATTGGTTCAATAAGACAATGAAACTTACGTGTAATGATATCCAAATTTACTGACATATACCTATCATAAAATTTTTTTTATGATACTATACAAACAATTTCTGTTTAAACAAATTTTAAAGGAATTAATCAAGATATGATAAATGTAAAATTAACCTTTAAGTTTTTTTTAAATACCTGCCAATAATAGAATATGTAAAAAAAAAACATTAAGCATTAACTGATGCAGATTTATTTAATTGGAAAATAAATCACCTTTTTTTTTTTTTTTTTTTACAGCAATAGACTAGAGACCTGTAGAGGTTGTACCCTGCCTTTCACCCCTAGACTGAAAGGCACTGGATCCGCCGTGGCCCTAATAATACATGGGAGAAAACGGATGGACCAAGTTCTTTTTAAGCAACCAACATTTGTCCGTAGTCGCTGTCTATGGTCCTGAAAGCTTGCTGCTTCCATAGTGTGTATTGTAGTTCAGTCTACTGGTTTACTCTGAACATTTTAGATCTTGTCTTCAACACTATTGAATAACTATACAACTGAGCTCGTGTATTGAATAAATGCAACACATTGCAGAAGTAAGGCGTAGTATTGGC